AGTCGTCGTGTAGCAAGATCGCATCCTCGTAGCATAGCATCCTGTATAATATACCCCTTCGAATAAGCGTTGTCAACCTCTGGACTTCCTCCCCCGCCTTGACTTGGCCCGATGCGCCGCACAAAATCCGCCCCTCGTCCTCTTTCCTGATCAGAGAGAGCGGCCGGCGCAGGAGACGCGACCGAGACGCGCAGGTGTCAAGAAACGCGGGGGCGCACCACGCACGCGCACATCACACAGACAACCAGAGACTCAGGGAGATGGGATGGAAAGAGATGGTCGATATGCGATGCAATCCGTGCTCCTTCCAAAGACGAGACAAGACGATACAAGTACAAGAGTTGGCGGTGGCGCGCATGTGGCGACGAACGACTACTGCGAGACGTTGCTGATGGTGCGCTTCTCGCCCCTCAGCGACGTGATGGGGCTCCAAGCGGAGCGCGGGTCCGACGAGGCTCCGAGGGCGCCGCTGCGCATCGTCGAGCCGGGCGGCGGGCTGCGCATGGCGTTGGAGGCGTACAGCTCAAAGCTGTTGGCCTGCGTGGGCGACCGGCCGCCGTCCTGCTCGGTCGAGGCGGGGCTGCCGCGGCCCTGCGAGTTGCCCGTCCTCCACGAGGGCAGGTCGGTCGGCGACGAGATGGCACCGATGGGCGAGAGGCTGGGCCGCTCGCCAGCCTCGCTCCGCGCACCGTTCGACGTCGGGGGCGAGAGGCGGAGGCCAGGGAGGGGCAGCGAGCCGAGCGAGGGGAGCATGGACCCCGACGCCGAGGCGTGGTGGCGCGGAAGCGGCTGACGCTGTCCCTGCACCTCGCCGCTGCCGCTCCTCTGGTGCGAGAGCGGCTCGCCGTAGGGCAGCGAGGAGGCGACGGGCGCAGACTGGCGCGAGATGCGGAGAGCGGCGGCGGCGTCGGCAATCTGGACCTCGCCGAGGCCCCAGCACTCGCGCGCCTGGTTCCACCAGCGCGAGACGCTCAGCTTAGGCCGGGTCGGGTACTCGGTGCAGATGAGCAGCGCAGGCAGGGCAAACAGACCCTGTCGACCGGCGGCGCCAAAGGCGTCGAGGATGAGGAGCAGGTTGCTGTACGCGGCCGTCTTGCGCGACTGGTCCTCGTCGACGGGCGCCGCCGAGTGCAAGACGAACATGAGCGACTCGGCGACCATGTGCATCATGGCCCAGCAGCCCGCCTTGGCTGCCGAGGGGCTCGAGTCAATCTCGGCGAGCGCCTTGGCGGTCGAGTTGAGGTTGGCCTCGTCGAACCTTTCGTCCGGTCCCAGCTGCTCGGCCCAGGCGTGCAGGCTCTCCTCGCACTGGCGCGCGGCGTCGCTGGCGCCCTTGGCGTTCTCGGCGGCGGCGGACCGGGTCGCTCGCGCGTGGTCGAGCGCCCGGACAAAGACGGCAAAGATCTGCGTCAGGCTGAAGAAGGCCTTGGTGACGTCGTCGCTGTTGCTGGCGCGGAAGTTGGCGATGCAGGCATCGATCTCGTCGGCACGGACCGAGGGGGCCTGGCCGACGAGCGACGCGATCAGGATGTCGAGCGCCCAGGCCACGCAGACTAGCCGCTGGCAGCTGTTGCGTCGGACGTTGCCGCTGAAAGAGTCGCGGCTGTAGGTCATGTGGCGAGCCTCGGGGATGGCACCCTCGTGGAACCGGAGGGCGATGACCATGCGCACGCTGGCGCTCGAGTACGAGAGCGCGCGCTGCAGGCGGCCCATGCCGGCCTCGTGGGCGGCAAGGAGGCAGAGAGCCGTGGCGTTCTCCAGGCTCGGCTGCTCAAGCGCGGAGCAGCCGTTGGCGTCCTCCTCGGTGAGCATGGCGCGGGCCGCACGGGCGTAGGTTTCGCCGGCAGCGAAGCGGTGCTGCTCCTCGACGTCCTGCTGGAAGCGGGCGGCCAGGGCGTACATCGAGAACAGTAGGGCCGGCGAGACTTCCGACGTAGAAAGATCGCGGAGGAACGAGATCTCGTCGATGACCGAGCTGAATGGGTGGAGCTGGGCGAAAAAGATGCTGATGAGCTCGCGCCGGCGTTCTGGCGGCACGTCGGGAAGGCTCGATGCGGACGCAGCGCTGAGGCTTCCAAAGTGGCTGAGCGCCATCTTCGGAGACTCGCTGGACGACTTGGACGCGGGGGCAGCGGAGGGCGGCGGTGCCTGCGCCTGCGCGTGTGCTTGGCTAGACCCCCGGGGCATCGTCGAGGATGCAGCCTCCGTGTCGTGTACAACGTTGCTGGCGTAGGGCGATCTCAACGCCGCTGCGGGGTGGGGACGCGATTCGGCGTGGACGTGCGATGGCGGGGCCGAGATCATGCAGGCGCCGAGCGATTCGGAGGGATGAGGCGGGCGAGGCGCTGCTGATGGCGCGATGCTGCTGCTACCGCTAAGTGGCGAGTTGGCGTTGCCATTGGCGTTGGGGCCGGCTCGCGCCGTCGGCAGGACCATCTTTCCGTTGGCGTCCGAGTAGCAGCATGTCCTGCCGCTGAAGTCGCAGTTGGAGCATGGTAGTCCGCCGTCGCATCGCCTCTTGGCCTTGTGGCAGGCGACGCAGGCCTGTGATCGATGGGTGAAGAGAGAACAATTGCACACGGCTGTCAGCATGGGCGCAGGCCGAAACGGACGGTCGTCGACGCCGACGGACGTCGAGGCGTGCGCGTACCTTTTGAAGGCGCTTGCGCTTGCGGCCGGTGGCGGCGTAGACGGTGGTGCCGTCGGCGGTGATGACGGTGGTCGGAGTGGGCATGGGCTGGTCTAGATCCTTGGCGCCGCTGGTGTTGTGCGACAGAGGGGCGCGCGACGAAGACGACGAGGAGGCGACAGAGGGCGACGACCACGAAGGCTGGTGAGGCTGGGCGTAGGTCGACGGGCCCGCAGATGCATAAGTCGAGTGGTGGAAGGAGCGGCTGGCGTCCCAGGAGGACGAGAAGGGTGCGTGGGGGAGTCTCGACATGCTGGGCGGATTGGCGAGCATGGCCTTTGGCGAAGCTACGATGCGAAAGGGGGGCTGGATGTAGGTCGGTGATGAGCTACGGACAATCGATGGCCAGCCCTTTGCTTGCGAGAGAGGTTCGAGTGTAGGTCGGGAGTCGAGGCAGCGAGATGAAGAGGTACCCGTAGGGGGAGGCAAAAGGGTTCGGCGCAGGCTAAGATGGGAGGGGAGGGGCCGGCTATATGTAAGAGCGAAGTCGCGGGGAGGGGGCGGGGCACCTCAGCGGGCGGGGAAGCGGCGGGTCGGCGCAAGAGGGGGCCGGTACCCAGGGGGGAGGGCAGGAATAGGGAAACCGTCCCAAGGCGGATAGGGAGCTGGCGACGAGGCGGAGGCCAAGGCGAAGGCGATGCCAAGACCCGTCGACGAACGTGGCGCGCGAGAGCGACGACGATAGGCAGGCTAGGCAGCGGCGCTACGAACTACGAGGCGAGGACGACGACGACGACGACGACGACGGCCAGCTCCGCCGCGCCGCCGCCGCCGCCGCTCGCTCGCTCGTTTTGTGCCTTCCGGCGGCGGCGGCGGCGGTCAAGTCGAGGCCATGATGCTTGGCCGGCCCGCCTGCCCGTGGGCCAAGCAGGGAGTCAGGCTTGGCACAAGAGAGAGGCCACATACAGCAGGCGGATCCACCCGAGAGGCAATACGCGGCAAGGCAGCAGGCAGGCCAGCGAGCCAGCAGCCGCAGGAGCGCGCCAAGCCTTTTCTCCCGTTCAGTCAAAGCAGCTGGGTCAGCCAGCAGCCAGCAGCCAGGCAGGCTACAGGCAGGGCCCACCGACGCGCCGTCGGCCTGCCAAGGCGGATCAAAGCAGCAGCCGAAGCGAGGCCAGCGGGCCAAAAGTCTTGGCAAAGGGGCACGCCGACGGCGAGGCGCTGGCGTAGGCGCTGGCCTGCGCCTGACTACCCAAAATAGCTGGCTGGCCAGGTAGGCCAGCCATCCCTTCCGTCTTCGGTGATGGGACTTCCGCTGTCCATACAGGCAGCAGCTCCCGTCGTTGTGGCCCGGACGAGCCGGAGGACAGGACAGGAGGAGGGCGTGAACGTGGTATCATACAGTACCCACCCGGCCTGGCCGTGAAACGGTGTACGCGACAGTGCCATCCTCGCTCGACGCACCACACTTGCCTACTGTAGCCTGTATGACCCCCTGTGGCCTTGGCACCCGTGATCCGACGCAGTTCGCGCCCTCAGTCTTGGCGCGGCGCCTCCTCGCGCTACCCGCGCCCACCTTTCACCTGTCGTCTCGACTTCGATCGACATGTTCAGCTGAGGCCAATACAGACTGTATCGTCCCCTCTGTTCCTGCGATGCTCGGGTGAGGACTGCCGTCCAGGGCAGCGACGTGGACCTTGCGGGCACCGGGCAGGCAGATCCTCGTCCAGCCCGGCAAGCCCGACTGCATTCGACGCACGCGCTACCGTCACGCAGTTTCAGGCCGACGGTTGGGAAAGAGCCGCCAGCACCCGAGGCAGGTGGAAGGCCGCCTAGCCGTACGTGCGTGCGTGCGTGCGTTTTCAGGCAGCGCTGGTTCCTGCAGCCCTGCAGCCCGACAAGGCTTGGCATCGCCATCACCGATCACGTCCCCCCGTCCCAGGCGACGACCGAGGACATGGTCCTTCGGTTTGTCGAGGTAGATATGATGGGGGCCCATTTCTAGTCATCCTCCATCAACGACAGCAGAGAAGAAAAGCGGCGTCCGTCGCAGAGTCGCGAGACTACTCGCGCTCCAGCGGAACAAGGGGCTAGTGCGCGTTGGCGGACCAGCGCCAGGGCCCGGCGGGAAGTGCCAAGCAAGAGAGAGAGCAGCGGGCGTGGTCGGCGCTGGGCCTTGTCGCCATGCAATCGTGCGGCGGGCATAAGGCCGGCGGCATAGCGGCGGCTTGCGTACGCTCAGCGTCGCCGCTCAAACGCCTGCCTCAGCCTGGGAGCACCGCGGCCCCCAGGCTGTTGCGACCCGACCCGGTACTGCCGGTAGCCAGCCAGGCAGCGCTTGCTCCGCGGTGCTGCGGTCGACCCTCGGTCCAGCCAACCTGATCGCTGCCGCTTGTCTGATCTCTCCGTGACCACTTCCTATCTCTTTGTGGCGGCCAGTCAATCGAGCTCCGGACAGTGCCCCGCGTTCAGGTGTCCACAAGGGACCTCACGGTGGCACCTGTGCGTATGTCTGCCAAGCCTCATCGCGCGGCGAGCCACCCGTCTGCGGCTTCGTCGCTGCCAAAATCCAAGGCTTGGCTTCGTTCGAGGGACCGGTACCGTGTCCAGGGGATCCGCTCGTGTGCCGACAGCGGTACATGGTGACCGAAGAAGGTACCGGTACCGGCATCGTACTTGGCGCTGGCCCCGACACTCCTGCCTTGGCTTGCCCCGTCAGACTTCAGCTGGACGCTCGTTGGCGATGACGGACTAGTGCTCAGAAGGCATCGGCGCGCGTGGCCTCTCTTTCTTGGCAGCACGGCCACGCCGTCGGCGCCGTAGGTCTTGCCCTTGATGGTGTCATCTGTTCGCCTCGCCGACCCCTCGTTCTTGGCATTCATCCGAACCTCGTGGCAAGGAGAATCCGAACTGCCATCTGGGACGTGGGTGGCGCTCAACGTTGGCCGGATCCGAAGGCGAGCAGGACGACGGCCGCCTTGCAACCGTGAGCCCACCTTCGACGTCGGGAGACGGAACGGCCCGGACGACAGCTTGATCGCCATGTTCTGACAAGCCGCGATCAACAGTAGTCTCCCGATGGGAGCCAGGTTCCTGCAGCATCCGTGCAGCTCGTATGTTCGGTGCGAGTATGACGTCCGGGCCAACTTGCTCGACGCGATGCTCTACTAGACGGGCGATGGAGAGAGTGATACCATCGCGATGGTATCTGTCCCGGCGTTTGCTGGGGCAGCGAGAGGTGGCTGGCGTGTCCACGACTCTCAACGCCGGCCCATCACCACAAGTATCGAGGGCGTTTGATTCGCTCTGTGGACAAGCGGCTGCGCTTTCGAGTCAGTACGACGATGCCACCTGCCCCTCGAGCCGTCACGTCGATCCTTGTCTTTCAGGACGATGGCCTGCCATGATTCACGACGTCGAGGTGCTGACCGCGCACTACCATACGATGCAAGAGCGCTGCCTCGCCGCCTGACAGCCAGCACGCAGAGAGGCTTTCGTCGGTCTATGCGATGGCGCGCCGGCGAAGCCCTATCCTCGTTCGTCGACCTGTCGGTTGTGAGGTGTCGCTCGTCATGCACCCGAGGCAGCTCAGAAGCCGCTCAGCATCCACCAATTCGCCCCAGTCGAGTTGTCGAGCGAGACCGGGACCGCACGACGTCGGCTGCCACGCAACAGGCAGGCAGCCGTCGAGGCGCGCATCCGCTTGCTGCGGTGTGACTACAGATCTCCGGACTCTGAGAGGAGGATGGCTTGCGAGCTTGTCGCCCGATGTCGGTGGCGCAGCCGTCGGCCTGGCCCGGACGGTTGCGAAGCTGGGAGGAGAGGCCTGTGAAGCTGGCGCGGGGCCGCGGCGTGGGGCAACGGTTCCTTGCTTGCTTGACCGAGGTTTGCCCAGCCTAGCCTGCCCCTCTGCCCAGCGCAAGCAGTCCCGGCAGCGCAGCGCCGCGACACTCTCCTGTCGGATTTCAAATCGTTGGAATTTCTCGCAATCCGGCGTTGAATTCAAATGACGGCGAGGGGGGAAAATTTTCCCCATTTTCAAACGACGGTTTGGCTGGCCAGTCTGGCTGCCCCTGGCCCTCTCCCCTGCCTGTTTGGGGGGCAGCCGCGCGTGCGAGGCGAGGCAGGACCAAAGGGCGGGCCGAGGCCCGAGAGGGCAGGGCCAGGCCAGCAAGCTCAGGCAAGGCTGGCCTTTGACAACGCGCGCGAGAGAAGCGGCCGGCCAGCCAAGTCAGCCAGGCCCCGGGTGGGTTTCCAAGGAGCGAGCAAGGCAAGCAAAGCCAAGCAGGCCTCTGGACACGCCAGGCCAGCCACGGCTGAGGCGAGCCTGGGGGATGATGACGAGCAGCGCGACAGCCAGAGAGGGTGGGGGATATCGCCGCAGCCCCGTCGGCTGCCGCAGTTGCCCAACGACCACCACCACCACCACCACCACCCTTTCCGACCCTTCCGCCCATCCGATCCAGTCCCCTCGTTTCGCCTTTCCCTCGACGTCGTGCTGCTCCCGGCCTCCCACCCACCAACGCCTTGGAGACAGGTCCTTGCGGCCAGTTGACAAGCGGGCGGGGCTACTCTGCGACAGCCTTCATCGTTGGTCCACAAAGGCGGCTCGTCCCTGGTCGACTCATTGGGGTTCGTCCTCGCCGGTCTCGGACCTTGCTGTGGCGGCATCGACTCGTCCTTCGATCTCTTCCTCCGCCTCGGGCGCGATCGGTCTTCTCTCTCCACCTCTCTCGATCTCGTCGCGAGTCGAGGAGTGAGAAGCCCCCTTGCCTCTCGCGGAAAGAAGAAACAGAAAAGGCGCTCGAGTGCCCACCAGCGGGATCGACTTGCGAGGTTTCCTGGCCCCATTGCGAAAGCGGACCGCCTCATCCTTGGCCACCTGAGGTCCCTCTTGCGATCCGGCCGCCTCCTCGTGCTCAGCCTGCATACAGCCTGCCCCGTCCTTCTCCGCCGCCTTGGGCCAAGCTCGAGGGAGCCTAGAGGGCCACGGGCTGCATACTGGCCGGCACTTAGAGGAGCGAGCGCATCCCAGGAGGCTCCGGCTTCGACCCCTTCCCGCCACGGCGACCCGACCGGCAGTCAGGACCACGCTCGTCGCCACCTCTCTGTCGTGGCACTTGCCTTGCCCTCTCCGGTCCTCCCCGCCCCAGCTGGGTAGCATCTCCTCGATCGACACTCTACTCCGGTAGCGATCGCCTTTCGATCTCGCGACCCACACCCTCCCGACACCTGGGGCAGCCCCCGCGGGGTCCCAGCCTTCCGTTCGACAGAGACGCCTTCATTGTGCTGCTCTCTTCCCGGTCCCATCCACCTTTACGACTTCCCTTCGACTCGTGTCTCTGATCTTCGCCTTCGACGACCGGCGACCTCGCCGTTCGCCTTTTTTCACCCCACCCCATCGACCGCCACCCGAGCTTCGCTCCTCGACCGCTCGATTGCGCCATCCGTCGCATACCCCCCTTCATCTTCGTTTCTCCCTCGTTCCTAGGCCCGCCTCAGACCTTCTTCTTCGCCTGCTCCTCCGTTCGATCCTTTGTTCTTCGTGCCCTCTCCGACCCGGCATTGGCCCAAAATTTCGCTTCCGACCCAAGTTCAGCTCCACCTACATCTTCGCCGGTTGCTTCCGCACTTCGGTGCACCGCATCCCAAACTTCTCCACCCACGTCACGTCCGACTCGGAAAGGCCGCTTGGCATCGTCTCGTCTCACCGCGGCGAAGCCAGCAGCGCCTTCCGTGCGCACGTCGCCTTTTCTCGAAGACATGGCCTTCCAGCATCAGGGGGCCTATGCCGGCCCGTACGCAGATCAGCGCGGCGGGTTCGGTCGCGGCCACGGGCAGGAGGCTCCGCACCCGCCTGCCGCCGTCAACTATTCCTCCTACGCTGCCAGCATGAATGCCGACGCCACCTTCCATCCGCAAGGCGGAGGTTGGATGCACGGCCATCAGGCACCGTCTCAGGCTCATGCGCAAGCCCACGCGCAAGCTCAGGCGACGATGATGCAGCAGCACCCGGACGAGTACGCTGCTCAGATGGGCATGTGGCAGCCTCCGCAGGCCCCGAGGATGAGTGCGGCCGCCGCGCGAGCCTCGTCGCTCGCCGCGGCCGCCGGCGCATACTCCGCCGGCTGGTACGGCGGCCACGGCTATCCGTATGGCGGCGGCCATTTCGCGCCAGCACACCATGGCGGTCCGTGGTATGCCTCCGCCGGTGGTCACCCGATGCTCGCGCGCCAGCCTCAGACCCACCAGGATCTCGAACATCAACTGATCCTCCATCACCAGCTGTCCAAGCTGCAGCAGGAAGAACACCACCGCGCCGACCAGTCCCGCCAGCCGCAAGCGGCCCATGTCCCCGACCGCCAGGTCTACCCTGACCACCGCCACGTCTCTCACCACCACCACCACCATCCCCATCACCCGCACCAACCTACTCATCATCAACCCCAGCACCTCTCCGAGCGCCTCGACTACGAGGATCCTCGCGGCTTCGCAGCCGATGATCGCCATGCCGCGGACTGGCATGGACGCGACCCGTACAATGCAGCCAGCACGGCGGGCCACTTCCGGGGAGGCAACGATCGCTGGTCCTCGGGCCGGCCTCAGCGGGGTGATGAGCCGCTCGATCACGTCAACCATGCCATTCGACGTGCCGAGGCTCATCGCGCCGCGCAGGAGTGGCAGGATGGCCGCCCCGTTGCTGGAGCCTGGACGCAGGCGCCCGTCGGTGCCATGGCTCCAGGCGGCTTCGCTCAGCAACTCCCGCCCATGCAGGATGTGTATGCTCCTCGACCGCAACTGCAACGCGATGACGTCGGCTTTGGCGGTGCCCACGGGCCGACTTCCGTCTACCCAGACCGTCGGAACGGCTCACACGCCGCTGGATGGGAACATGCTCCCCACCAGCGCGCTGACCGCCACCATCGGAACGACCAGTCGCGCTACGACGCTCGGCATTGGGGTCGCGTCCAGGACAGCGAGGAGGCTGCCTATCACGCCGACGGAGGCCACCAGCGCTGTCCGCCGCGCGGCGACGCGGAGCTCCCGTATCACGACCAGTATGGTCGCAGGCAGCCGTTCGAAGGCGCCTTCCGGGATGCTCAGCTCGATCCTGGCCGCCGCGGCGCTTTCGTCGGGCTTGGCGATGTGGCCATGTCCGCGCAGGCCAAGGACTGGAACCCTGCCGCATCTCGGCTTGAATCCCATGCGATGGCCGAGGACGTTGACCAATGGGGTCGAGCTCGTGACCAGCATCACATGCAGCGCGCTGCGGAAGTCGAGAGGGACGCCAATGCTGCTGCTGCTGCTGCTGCTGCCGCCGCCGCCGCCGTCGACCGTACTGCGGTGCCGGAAGACCACCCGCACGTACCGCCGCCGAGCGCCGAGATGCCCGACGCCCAGTCCAAGGGTCCTGCCCCTCCTTCGCCCGACACCCTGGACAAGTCGTCCGTGCCCATCGCCGCCTTTGGTGCTCAGGTCGTCTGGAATGCGTCTGCCGCCTTCTTCGACGCCGGCATCCTCTTCCAAGCTCAGGAGGTCGAAGAAGAAGCTGCCGCATTCGCCTACGGCAACGAGGGCAGCGACGACACTCGATCGGGCGGTGGTGGTTCGGTCCCTTCGAGCTCGTCGACGCCGTCGCTCGCGACTCCCTTGCTTTCGCCGTGGTCGACCGCCAACTTGCTCAAGAGTCAGCCTAGGGACTGGAATGCCTTCCAGTCGCCCTTTGGCCCGGAAAGCACCGCTGCGCTGCGCACGGCCAACCCGGGACTGGGTCTGTCTGGATCCAGCGGCATCGTCAACACCGAGTCGGTCAGCCAGCTCCACCGCCTCGCGGTCGGCGCCAGCAGTGCCTCCAAGCTCGGCGGCGCTGGTGCCCACGCCTCGAACGCCGCCGCCACCGCAGCAGACGCCCGCCGTCGACACCGGATCTCGAGCGGCTCGACTGGCGGACACAGCTCTGGTGCGAGTTCTGCCACAAGCTCGGAGCCCGGGACGCCATCCTCGCTGGGCAGCCACAGCCCTTCGCTCAACCCGATTGCGGGCACGCGGAGCGACGGCGCGACGTACTCGGCGCCCCACCCGCCCGTCGGGCTCGGGCTCGATCGCTCGCAGTCAGAGTCGGCGGTCTACCCGCATGGCGGCAGGGCGGCGCGCAAGGCGTCCAGCTCGCCCAGGTGGGCCGACCGCGCGCGTGACAGGATCCTCTCTGCGCTCCGCCTCGTCTCTCCCGAGTGGCGTTGGAGCGCCAACCCGGAGGACTTTGTCTCGCTCGTAACCGCCAACGACCAATTCGATGGCAGCCGGATGCATCGCTCGCCCGCGCTTGGCGGATCGGCCCTCCGCAGCCGATCTCCGCGCGACTCGGTCGTCGGCGCCGTCTCGACACACGCCAGCGAGCCGAGTCCGGCCTTCCGCCGCTTTGCCCACCAGGTGCTCGCGCAGACCCTCCTCTCCCCGACGGCCTTCTTGCTCGGCATCCTCTACGCGCTGCGCCTGCCCTACCTCGCTCTGATGGCTGATGGCTCAATGGATCCCGAGGCGGTCGAGCTGTTTGCCCAGCCCACGTCGGCGGCGCCCTTCAAGCTGTTCACGCTCGGCATGATGATCGCCAACAAGCACCTCGACGACAACACGTTCACCAACAAGACGTGGAACGAGGTGACGGGCATCCCGCTCCTCGAGCTCAACCAGATCGAGGCCTACTTCCTCAAGCGCTGCAACTACGAGGTGGCGGTGCCCGACGACACCTGGGTGGCCTTCCTGCAGAATGTCAAGGCACGCGAGGAGGTGATGGCCATCGACGAGCGCGCTACGGGCAAGTCTACCGGCGGCGAGGCACGCCGATCGTCGTTTGATCGCACGTCGCTTGTCGCGGCCGGCGACCAGGAATGCCGCAAGCGCATGCTGCTGGTGCTCGAGGAGGCTCTCGCGCCCTTTGAAGCGGACCCACAATTTAGCCTCGATGGGCCGCCGCCAGCGGGGGAGTCGGACAGGATTGACGACGCCGACGATCTCGCCTCCGCCGCTGCTGCCTCGGCGCAGGCCCAGGCGTCGAACGCGTGGGGCAGGATGCAAGAACGACGCCCCTCGTCGTCGCTCCACGCCCATCATCAGCACTGCCACTCTGCGCCCGCGATTGCGACGGGCATGTCGGCGATCAAGGGCGGCGCCGCGTCCGACGTCGCCAAAGGCAACAAACACGTCGTCGCTGACGGCCGCGAAGGCGGTGACGACGACGACGACGACGCGTTCGACGACGAGTACTCGCCCTTTCCACCGTCGCAGCACGGCGCGGCAGAGCCCCAGCGCAGCGGCCTGAACCGGACCCAGTCCGACTTTGACGGCCGACACTGCCGACCGCTGGCGTCGTCGTCGCTGTCGTCGCTTCGGTCGCACGGTCCGTCGTCGTTCTCTGGGCCGCTGGTGCCCTCTGCGCTGCTCAATGGCGGTCGCGCCTTGCTTCACGGTGGCAGCGCGTTTGCCCCGCTGGCCACGTCGGCCTGGTCTCACAACTGAACGGCGGTCCCCCGATCGACGACCTTCACCATGCCACCGCTCCACCACCATGCGCCTGCGCCTGCGCCTTCCCTCTGCCTCGGCCCTCGGCCTTGGGTGCCTTTGGCGCGCCCGCGACCCTCCTCGACCCTGACGCTGTTGTGCTCTGTTCTGGCGACGTGATACCTTGTCCGGCCGTGTCGTTTCTCGCTTCCTGGCGTCGTCGATTTCGCCTTCTTCCACCGTCCGACTCTTCAAAAAGTACAAGTCCTCGGTGGCGCGCCTGCCTGCCGAGGCCGTCTGGGGTGACGCCGCCGCCGCCGTCGCCGAGACGATAGATATCCCTCGCCTCTTTCCCGAACGCATTCCAGCAGAAGTGGCCTTTTTCGCCCTTGAACCTGCCCTCTGCTCGCTGTCTCTTTTCCTCGCTCTCTGTCGTTTCGTCCTTCTTCCTCTAACCCTTTCACCCTCGCTCTTCCCCCTCTTTGTCTCTTGGTCCCTTGTCTCTATCCCCCCCTTTCGTCGTCGATCCGGAGGCGTTTCGACCCGTGGTTGGGTCGTTGTTTCGTAGCCCGTTGGACGCGCTGGTCCGATCTGGCAGTCTGACGGGTGGTGGTGGCGTCGTCTTACCACGTCGACGCCCGATTCCGTGTCGATGATTGATGACTTATGAAAGTTGGCAGCTTTTTCTCGCATCGCGTTCCATGCGCTCGTAAACCGTGGCTCCCAGGCTGCTTGTTTGAGTTGAGCGGCGGGCGGTGTGGCTGAGTTGTCGGTGGTGGTGATGCGGGCAGTCGGGCTCGAGGGTTGGGCCGCGGCCTGACTTGGCCCTGGCGCGATGGTCTGTGGGGTCGGGCCCTGGCCCTGGCCTGGCCTGGCCTGGCCTGGCCTGGCCTGGCCGGAACGGCGGCACGTCCGGGGCCCGGCCAGCAGAGAAGCAGTTTCCAGGGTCCCGCGGCCGCTGGCTGGCTGGCGGTCAGGCTGGCGGGCTGCAGGTCTGCTCTCCACCATCGCCCAACGCAGCGCAGCGACAGGCCCCAAACGCCAAGCAAGCCGGCCAGGCCAGGCCAAGGCAGGCCAGGACACGGCAGGCAGGGCACGCGTACGTCGACGCAGACCTACATACGCCATCATCGCTCTCTCTGACACCACGCCCCGGCCTTTCCTGCCTGCCAGGCCACGTCCACCCTCTCGATGAACTGAAAACCGCCTTTGGCCTCCAGAGAGAGAGGTCTCGTCGCGCTCAGCTGACCAGCCTATCGCTTCTCGCTCTATCTTCTCTCTCTGTAGGCAGACCGACGTCGATCGACTCGAGCGCCGACGGCTGCCAGCCAACCAGGTACGGCACCAAGGGCCCGAGCCAGCCCCGCCTGTCGGCGCCTGCCACGCTCCGCCGTCTTGACGAGCGAGCAGCCCCCCGCTGCGGCGTAGTTCATGTTGGCCTCTGCGGCATCACCTGTCTGGCCGTCGGTCAGGCCCGAGAGCAGGGCAGGGCAGGGCAGGGCAGGGCAGGGCAGGGCAGGGCAGGGTAGGGTAGGGTAGGGTAGGGTTTAGCCGCCCACCCGCCGCCGCCCTCTGCCCCATCGACTCTCTTCGGAACAACGGGCAGACGGTACTTATACACGTATGCGCAGACCCACGTCGTCGACGCCCGGCCTGGTCCCCCTCTTCTCCCCCTCTTCTCCTCCTCTCTCCCCCTCTCTTCCCTCCTGCTGGCTTCCGGCTCCTTTCCTTGCACATCTCCTTCGGCACCGGCACCGCACCGCAACCCATCCCAGCGACGCCTGACCACCATGTCGACCTCGACCTCGGCCCCGACCCCGTCCTCGTCCTCGGCGACGCCGCCGACGCCCATCATTGTGTGGTGCCACCCGCGCTCGTGCTCGACGGCCTTTGAGCGCGCCCTCATGCAGCGCTCCGACACCCACGTCTTCCACGAGCCCCTGGGCGACCCCTTCTACTACTCGCAGTCGCGCGCCTGCAACCGCTACGACGACGACACCTGCAGGGCCACCGAGCACTGGAACACGACCCTCGAGAGCGTCACCCGCTCCCTCCTCGTCGCCTCGCCCGACGCCGCAACCCGCCCCGAGTCGCTGGCCCCCAACAAGCAGTGGCCCCCCAAGTACGTCTTCATCAAGGACATGGCCCAGTACATCTTCCCCGCCGACCGCCTGCGCCGCCTCCACCCAGAGTCCAAGGTCTACCCGGCCACCAAGTCCAACTCGGTCCCCTCGACCCCCCAGCTCCACCAGTCGGGCGACTACGACCCGCTCGAGAACCCCACGGTGCTGCCCACCTGGCTCCTCCGCCGCTTCAAGCATACCTTCCTCATCCGCACCCCGGAAAAGTCGGTCCCGTCGTACTGGAAGTGCGTCGAGGAAAAGGCGGCCGGCTTCGAGTACTTTGACGGCGCAGAGGCGGGCTACGCCGAGCTGCGCATCCTCTACGACTGGCTCGCCAACCCCAAGTCGACCTTCAACACCTACTCGGCCTCGCCCGACGACGAGTCGAGCAGGCCGGGAACGCTGCAGCACCAGCCGCTGCCCCCGCCCCTCATCGACGCAAAGGTCCTCCTCGCCCACCCTGAACACACCGTCTCGCAGTACTGCCACGCCGTCGGCATCCCCTTTGACAGGCAGATGCTCAGCTGGGAGTCGGGGCCCGTCGAGGAGTGGAAAAAGTGGGGCACCTACCACAAGGGCGCCGAAAACTCGACGGGATTCCAGAACCAGGCCCCGGAACCGGCGCAGCAAAACGGCGGCGACAAGAAAAAGCCGCTGCCGAGAGACGTCGAGCAGACCATCGAGGCGTGCATGGCCGACTACCAGTACCTCGCCGAGCGGACGACGATCAAGGAGCCCTAGAGAGCGGCGAGGCGCCAATACAGAAAGCGACCTGCCGGGCGAGGCAGTCGAACAGAGCGGCGGACGCCGAGGGCGGCCCTGGTGGCATCGCACGGCCAGAGTGCTTTTTTCCCCCTCCTTCTTCATCTCCATCTAAACGATTGCGCGACGGTACAATAGCAGCACGACAATGAGCAAAGATAGATACAGAGAGTACCGGCTGCAGCGCCGGCCGACCCCGCTCAGTTGGGCAGGGCGTCGCCGTCGCCGCCGCCGCCGCCAAACTCGCCGACGACCCAGTCGACAAACGCGGACCACTGGCGGTCAAAGTCGAGCTCCCACTTTTGCCTCTGGTGCTCGTCGGCGAGGGTATACCGGATCGACCTGCGCGCAATGACGCCGAGGCTGGCGAGGGACGTGGCGTCGCTCGAGACGAGGAGCTGGTAGAAGTCGTAGCTGAGGCCGAAGTTTTCGAAAATCGACGGGTCGTCGCTCGAGAGGGTGAGGGCGACGTTGTCGTTGAGCAGGGCAAGGAGCGACGGATGGCTGGCGACGCTCGAGGCGTAGCCGAGCACCTGGTTGGAAATCGGGCAGCATTCGACGGCCACGTCGCGCTCTTTGACGAGCGATACGAGGTGCGGGTGGCGCGCCAGGCTGAGGGCGTGGCCCAGCCGGCGCGTGTCGAGGAGCAGCGCATCGTACAGGTTGCAGTCGGCCGGTCCGCCGTCGGACAGGGTCTCGCCCGCGTGGAAGACGAACGGGATGGTGGGCAGCCCTTGCTCGGCGACGCGGCGACGGAAGCGCAGCAGCTCCGGAATGTAGGCCTTGAGCGGTACGCCCGGGTCCTCGTGGCCCACGAGGTCGAATCCGACAATGAGGTCCGGGAAGCGGCGCTTGAGGTCGATGCAGTCGTCGCAGTACCAGCGCAGCCGCTCGTTGTCGACGATGCGCACCGTCACGTAGATGATGCGCGCGCCCCAAAAGGCGACGTCGGGCTCGTCGCGCGCCAGCTCGGCGCGCGCCTCGTCGACGGCCTCGCCAAAGATGCGCACCCACTCGGCGTGGCCCAGGTCGCGGCGGCCGTCGGCGCGCACCATGGCCTCGTCGAAAAAGTTCATGCGCACCTCGGTATAGGCGATGCCGTCGCGGGCGTGCGACTTGAGCATCTGCTTGATGTAGCCGCGCAGCGTCGGCTCGTAGCCCAGCAGGCCGCCGATGACGTGGAACGTCTTGATGAATTTGGCCCACGCCTGCTTGCTGTTGGTGTGCGGCGGCTGGTGCAGCGAGGGCGTGAGCGTCATCAGGCTGTGGACGTAGGCGTCGAAGCGGTTGGCGCGCTGCCGCGCGTCGGTGGTCGGCGCCGCCGGGGCCGGAAAGAGGTACGAGGGCACCTCGCTCGCCACGTCGCGGTAGGGGTGCGGGAAGGGGAACGAGGAGCGCGCCTCGCCAAAGGGGACCCAGGTGTCTGGCTGGTAGTTGGCCGTCCAGATCGACGCGCCCTTGCCCCTGGCCGCCTCGACATCGGCGGCGGGCAGGACGAGGAAGGTGAGCTGGCAGTCGTCGGCGTAGAGGGTCGCCTCATCGACGAGGGGCATGTTGGCCTTGACGCACATGGCGTCGGTCTCGACGGCGCGCGCAATGAGCCAGCGCGCATCGACGCTGCCGTCAAAGTGGCAGTGGAGCAGCGCGCCCTTTGGCATGCGGCGGACGATGCGCCAGAGCCGCAGCTGGTCCTGGTTGCGCCGCCACGCCGCCGCCGACTCGAGGTCCTCGCTGCGAAACAGGCCGGCCTTGCGCGCACCCTGGAAGTCCATCCCGGCGTACCTGGACAGATGCGGCGCGGGCGCGGGCACGGGCGGGTGCGGCACGACGGTGGTCGTGGTGCCGTCGCTGTTGTTGGTGGGCGGCGCGACGTCGGGCTTGTTGGTCTCCCACACGCTGGCCACCTCTTGGTCGCGGATCGACGAGACGATGCCCTGCGCGCGCCGGCCCGCGGGCGAGAGCGACTGGATGGCGGCATAGTCGTACCGCTGCGACCTCTCCTCGTGGATGAGCGACTGCCGTGCCGCGGCGTAGGCGGCCAGCTCGTCGTCGTCGCCGCCGCCGTTGGCGCGGCCATTTGTCGCCGCGCCGGCGCCATTGATCGGGTTGCCCATCCCTCTTGCCTTTGCTTGCTGCGTCGACCGTGTTCTATGCGTTGTCTATGCCGAGGCGATCTTGGGGGTATATGTGGCGCAGTCTAGTCTATGGGGCGGGGGGCGATGACGGCTGACGGTGGGCAGAGGTAGAGCAAGGGGGCAAGGAGCCAGGCCGAGGGGGAGGGGGTTTCCCCGCCTTGAGGGTCCACGCCGCGTGGTCTGCCGGGCTTGGCTTGGGCAAGCAAAAGCCGGAGGAGGCCGAGTGCCGGAGTCGAATCGAACCAGATCGGGCCAGTGGGTCGATTCGATGTCTTCGGGGTTTCTGGAATTTCGGAGCCGTGTCGTCGCCGAAAATAGTGCGAGCGGCGACGTCAGCCCGGCCGGATGACGAGCCAGCCAGCCGCGCCGCTCGACCGCGTCGACTCATTTCAGCCATTGGGCCAGCCCAGCCCGCAAGCGGCCGGAAGGCCGCAGGTTGATCTATGAACTCACAGGCAGGCTAGGCCAGCATAGTGGCCGCCGCCGCCGCCGCCGCCGTCGCCTAAGAAGAGCAAGCCAGCGGGTCGTCAAAGCCCCCTGCCAGGAAGCAGAAGCAAGGCCGGCCGGTTCGATGGCGGTGCTGCCTGGTTGAAAACCGCATGGTCACAGGGGCGCATGAGGCAGGAGAGGAGGGGCAGGCAGGCTAGGCAGACCAGGCAAGCAGCACGCACGCCAGGCCAAGCGGCGGCTGGACCGGATGGGCCCGTCGGTTCATCCGGATGGCGGTGCGGCGAGCGGCGAGCGGCGGCCTGGCCCGCCGGACTTGGGTTCGCCCCGGCCTGCCTGCCTGCCCGCCTGCCTGCCTGCGAGCCTCTCTGTTGTGCCCGCGCGGGCAATCACCGCTCGACGCCGCGGCGCAGCATCATCACGCCAGAGAGAGAGAGAGGCTCGCCCGCCGCCGTCAGAGCTGGACAGGCCTGTCAGGCAGGATCAGACGACGGCGGCGCTGCTTCCCTCCACCGCGGCAGCTCACCCTCTGCCTCTTGGGCCCCAGGGCAAGCCAGGCAGCCAACCGGCCAGGCAAGGCAGAGGCGCACCCCCTCTCCCTTTATCAACCGCCGTCACGGCTCAAACCCACTTCCTTTCCTACTCCCCCCCCCCCCCCCCCCCTCCCACCCACCACCGATCCTATCCGTCCTGCACAGCTGCCCCCTCCGGCTCCTCGATAGACTGATAGCAAGCTCGCCAGCTCCATCTCTTTGACATTACATCCCCTCTTGCGCCCTCTCTCGATCTTCCTCGAGGTCACCCTGCCAACACCACCACCACCACCGCCACCGCCACCCTCCCAAAAAACGGCCCGCAAGCCAGAGAGCGTCATCCAACCGATGGCAGAACCCGTGGCTAAATATGATCCAGACCCCGCCCACCTCTGCCTAGGTCCCTCGCCCTCTCGCACCCGCGCCCACCGCCGCCGCACCACCCGAGCCAAGCGCACCAGCCCCTTCTCCCTCGCCAGCCTTGGTCTCGTCGCGCTGATCCTCGTCAGCCTCCTGGCTCCAGCCGTCGTCTCTCGGCACATCGACACCGCCGCGCCCGCAGCCTCTGGCCCGCTCAATCTCCGCAGCAGCAGCAACAGCCATCACCACAAACACCAAGATGATCGACAGATAGATGCACGCTCCACGGACGGACCCGCGGGTCTCTCCTCGCATTTGAACGAACTCTTGAGCGATTCCTTCGCCGCATCCCAAGACGGCCACTTTGACCTCGCCTCGATCGAGCGGCTCCTCGAGGGCCTCAGCGATGCCCGCGCACAGGCGGGCCACACGCCGACGGTGCCGACACCCTCTGGACACGGCCAGGCGTCGCTCACCAAGCGCGCCGAGGCCGCCAGCGACACGTGCCACTGCGGCGAGTCGGAGCTCTCGGCCGGCCAGAAGGCCGCCTACGGCATCCTCGTCCCCATCCTCGTCGTTCTCTCGGGCCTCTTTGCCGGCCTCACGCTCGGCTACATGTCGCTCGACGAGACGCAGCTGCAGGTGCTCTCGCTCCAGGGCACCCCCGAGCAGAAGCGCTACGCTGAAAAGATCATGCCCATCCGCAAGGACGGCCACCTGCTCCTCACGACGCTCCTCATCGCCAACATGATCACCAACGAGACGCTGCCCATCATCGCCGACCCGCTCCTCGGCGGCGGCGTGCAGGCCGTCATTGTCAGCATCGTGCTCGTCGTCATCTTTGCCGAGCTCATCCCGCAGTCGGTCTGCTCGCGCTACGGCCTCGCCATCGGCGCAAAGATGGCTGTTGTCACCCGCTTCGTCCTCATCCTCCTCTGGCCCATCGCCTACCCCGTCTCGCGCGTGCTCCACTGGACCCTGGGCCCGCACCACGGCATCGTCTACCGCAGGGCCGAGCTCAAGGAGCTCGTCAACATGCATGCCGCCACCGGCGGGCGCGGCGACCTCAACACCGACACGGTCACCATCGTCGGCGGCGCCCTCGACCTGCAGGAAAAGGTCGTCAAGCAGGCCATGACGCCCATCGACAAGGTGTTCATGATCCCGCTCGAAGCCAAGCTCGACTACCACATGCTGCAGGAGATTGTCGGCTCCGGCCACTCGCGCATCCCCGTCTACCACGAGATCGAGATCCCCGTCGGCAGGATGCGCAGCGGCACCGCCACGCCCTCAAAGGGCGGCGGTGGCGGCTTCCTCAGCACCCTCAGCCGCAAGACGAGCTCCGGCACCGCCATCAACCCCAACGCCAGCGGCAACGACGACCTCAAGTCGTCGGTCGACACTGGCGACGCCACCATCGCCAGCGGCAACGGCGGCGACACGATCATGACGACCATCAAGAAGAAGAAGATCATCGGCACGCTGCTGGTCAAGCAGTGCGTGCTGCTCGATCCCGAGGACAGCGTGCCCGTCAAGGACATGGTCATCAACGCCGTCCCGACGGTGCCTGCCGACGAGCCCCTGCTCAACCTGCTCAACGTCTTCCAAGAGGGTCGCTCCCACCTCGCCATCGTCTCGTCTCGCACGCGTCGCGGATCGCCCGGCTCGTTCCTCAGCCTCGGCAACAACGACGCCGGCGCTCCGGCCAAGGCCGGCGTCACTCGCACCGCCACCGCCGCGCGCATCGACGACCTCGGCCCCATTGACGAGGAGAAGCAGCTCAGCCGCTCCGAGATCAAGGGCAGCCGCTGGTCGCGCCACCTCCGCCGCGCGCTCCACCGCGACGAGGAGCACGTCGCACCCGAGCTGGCCGATGGCTCGATCGACGTCACCCACGTCGCCTCCGAGATGGCGCAGCGCGACGTGCCCATCGGCATCATCACGCTCGAGGACGTGCTCGAGGAGCTCATCGGCGAGGAGATCCTCGACGAGTACGACTCCGAGGTCGAGCAGAATTTCGCCAAGATCAGCCCGCCCCCCAGCCCGGACCAGAAGCCCGCTCAGCCTTCCGAGGCGACGGTGCACAAGGTCAAGGAGGACGACTTTGTGCTGCCCTCGCCGTCGGTGCGGAGCCCGGCGCCCAAGGCGTCTGGCGGCGTGCTCCAGCGCCTCAAGCTGAGCCGCAACAACAGCGTCAAGGAGGCGCCCGCCCCGACCCCGACCTTCTTTGACGACGTGCCCAAGGAGTCGCCCGTCGAGGAGGTGCCTGTCGCTGCTGGCTTGCCCTCGGACGCTACGACAGCCGCCCAGGACGCCAAGGCCGACAGCGCCGACGCTGCCGGGGCTGTGTCCGCTGCCGACCCCGTTCAAAAGGTGCGCATCGGCGAGCAGACGGTGATCAACGACGACAGGCCTTCGGCGCGCTCGTCGATGACGTCGACACTCGGCCGCAAGGAGGTCGAGGGCGGCAACGGAGGCGGCGCGGGTCGGATGGCCAAGCCCGTCATTATCCGCCACCAGCCCCCCGGCGGAACGCCGTCGACGGCCATTGTCAGCGAGGCGCTGCTGCGTGGTCGCGGCTCTGGCGTGGATGGCCAGGAGCGCAGCCGGAGCGCGACGCCTTCGGGCCAGTCGAGGGCCAAGATCTTCAAGAGCTCGCCCATTGTCGCGCCCGGTGCTGCTGCCAGCGGCCCGCCGCGGAGGCAGAGAGGCATGAGCCGCGACGCCAGCTCGGGCCGTCGAGGCACGCTGCTGGCGCAGGAGTCGACGTCGGCCTCGGCCCCCTCGACGCCCGTTGTCGACTCGAGGCCGGACGAGGACGAGGCCGACGACGAGGGTGATGAGAAGAAGGCCGGCGAGTGAGTTGTAGAAGCGGGGACCGCACCCCTTCCTGCGCATTGGTATCTCCATGTCCATGTATAGTGCTGCTGCCTACTCTACCTAGCTCCGCCCCCTGCTTGAATCTAGTCGGTCGGAGCATGTACCTCCGGAGCTGTGAAGACTGGTTGCGTGTGTGATGCCGGGAGCACGAGGAGAGTCGACTGCCGCGCGAGGGTGCGTGAGAGCCGACCGGCGGCTTGCCCATGGTGGGGCCCTCTGTTTCCTCCACCCTTTTTCGACGTGATTTTTGGATTTGGGCCGCTCGAGGTTTGCGTCTGTGCGCGGTCGGTTGGTTGGTTGGTTGGTTAGTTGCTTCGAGAAGTTTTAGCCGCGCCTTCGACGCCGCCGTCGCTGTCAACCTTTCCTGTCACGCCTCCGACTCACCATACCCCCTCCGTCCATCCACACCACGCAGCGACGGACGATACCGACACGGCGGCCTCTCTTCTTGGCCCGGCATCAACGAGCTGCACGACCAGACACTCGACGACGCCGACAGCATGCCCCTCTACCCGGCCCAGGAACCGTCGCTGGACGACTTTCCCAGGCAGCCGCCGCTCGACAGCCTGCCCGACGAGCAGCCCCGCGGCGGTCTGGCGCCCTGGCGCAAGGTGGCGCTCAAGGACGATCCCATCCTGCAGCCTGCCTCGTCCTCCGACGCCAGCGATGCGCGCGACTTTGAGCGGCACGCCTCGCCCATCGTGTTTGGGTGCGGCGTCTTCGGCCACGACATGTACAACACCCAGTCGACGCTCTCGTCCTCCATCCCGCTCCAGACGGTCCGCCTGGCGCTGCGCTACGGCATCAACTCCTTCGACACCTCGCCCTACTACTTCCCCTCGGAGTTTATCCTGGGCAACATCCTCGAGCGCCTCAAGCCCGAGTTCCCACGCGAGAGCTACTTTATCACGACAAAGTGCGGACGCTACGGTCCGGACCGGCAGCACTTTGACTACTCGGCGGAGCGAGTCGAAAGCTCCATACGGGGAAGCTGCGACCGGATCCGGTGCGGATACCTCGATGTCGGGCTGATGCACGACGTCGAGTTCGTGGCCGAGCACGTCGGGCCCAGCAACGAGGCCGGGTGGGAGGCGGGCATCATTTCGGGCCTGGTCGACGGCGCAGCGGCCAATACGACGACGACGACGACGGCCAAGGAGCAAGCGCTCGACTCGCTCGGCCTGGCAAACACGCCCGAGGCGGCGAGCAGGATCCATGGCCCCGGCGACGAAAAGATCCTCGAGGCGGTGCGGACGCTGTTCAAGCTCAAGGACCAAGGGGTCGTCAGGCGCGTGGGCATCTCGGGCTACCCGCTGGCGGTGCTGCTGCGCCTATCGAGGCTGGTGGCGAGCCACGCCCCCTTCCGCCCGCTCGACGTGGTGCTAAGCTACTCGAACCACTGCCTCCACTCGGACGTCCTCGTCGGGTGGCGCGAGCTGTTTGAGGCGTGTCCCGCCGGCGTGGATGCCGAGGCGTGGACGCCGCCGACGGTGCTCAACGGATCGCCGTTCAGCATGGGCCTGCTCGTCGATGGACCCCCGCCCGCCTGGCACCCAGCCAGCGAGGAGCTCAAGCAGGCGTGCCGAGACGCCTCGGCTTCGTTGAGGGAGCGAGGCGAGAGCCTGGCCAACACGGCGCTCCTGTACGGCCTGCGTGGGTCAGAGCTGGTGGGCGGCGAGGCGGCATCGGCAGCGGCAGAAGCTCCACAACCGCAGCTGCGCACGCTCGTGGGGCTGAGCACGCCCGAGCACGTCCACTCGGTAGTCGAGGGCTACCGCGTCCTCTGCTCGCGCGACCAGGACGGCGACGACGAAGGCAATGCGGTGCCACAGCCAGGTCGAGGTCGACTGCTGTGCCAGCTCGACGACGGGGAAAAGCAGCGGCGCGCCGGAGCCTACCGGAAGCAGGTGGCGGCCGAGACCGAGGTGCGGCGGCTGTTCCAGCAGAGGGGCGTGCGCGAGTGGTCGTGGTCGAGCGGGCTGTGATTGGATGTCGTTTTCTCTCGTTCCCTCTTTCAATGATCGCCGTGATCTCCATGAAATGGTGCTACTACTGATGGCGGCGGTGCCTCATCTATTGTCCTGTGGCAGCCATTTGTGCGTGTGTTGCGCCGGCTCAGCGTGGTCCGAGCGCTGTCGGCGTCTTGGCCGGGCGAGGCGGGGGCGCGAGAAGCTCTATTTTGCGGGGGCCGCCCTTCCTCTCTTGCGGAGGTGGCATCCAATTGGCCCCCTTTGACCACTCACCACCACCACCACCACCACCACCACCGTTGCCTTTCTCTACCAGCCTCCGTTCATCACTCGCCAATCATCGCTCATCCCCTACCGCCGCCATGGCCTTCCACTCGGGCCACCTCACCCGCGAGCAGGTGGACCAATTCCATCGCGACGGCTACCTTGTCGTTCCCGACTTTTTCGACGCGGCGCCGCTGCTGGCCCACGCAAAGGAGGTGGTGTCGTCGGTGGACCTGTCGACGCACCCGCGCACAAAGTTCAGCACGGGCGGCGACGACGGCGAGGAGCATGTGGGCGACCGCTACTTTCTCGAGTCGGGCTCGCACATCCGCCACTTTTTCGAGCAGGACGCCATCGACGCCGAAGGGAAGCTCACCGTGCCCCTCGACCGCGCCGTCAACAAGGTCGGCCACAATCTCCACGGCCTCGATCCCGTCTTCCGCGACTTCTCGTTTGCGGACAACGTAAAGAACGTCGCAAGGAGCCTCGACGTCCACCGCGACCCGCGCGTGCTCCAGGCCATGATCATTGTCAAGGCACAGGAGATTGGCGGCGCCGTGCCCTGCCACAACGACTCGACCTTTCTCTACACCGATCCACCCAGCGCCATCGGGTTCTGGTTCGCCCTCGAGGACTGTACCAGGAAGAACGGGTGCCTCTCGTTCCTCCCTGGATCGCACCGCTGGCCAAAGGGCAGCCACAAGGAGGCCACCGACAAGAGGCCTCGCGATCCGTTTGCGGACGAGCTCGGCAGGGCCCGCGGCGTCAACAAGCGCTTCGTCAGGAAGGTCCCCAACGACCCGGATCAGGGAACCACGTTTGAGACGCTCGCCACCGACGAGGAGGCAGAGTGGAACGAGCAAGAAGCGAGGATGGAGGAGTGCTCCGCAGGTAAGCCGAGTCGGTGCGAACGGCGTCCTGCGACAGACGAATCTGCGAGTCCACACAGGCCGACCAGAACCCTCCTCTCTCGTCCCGTCCCGTCCCATCTCTGCCCCGCTCAATGCTCCTGTGACACCATCTGCCTTCCTCCGTGCCCATCCGTTTTCAGGCACACTGGTGCTGATCCACGGCTCGGTGCTGCACAAGTCCGAGAAGAACACGTCGCCAAAGTCGCGCTACATTTACACGTACCACATGATCGAGGGCGACGGCGAGCTGGCCACGTACGACGAGAAGAACTGGTGAGTCGACGTCGAACCCGCCTCTCCTGATCATTCCCTTGCCCCTTCAGGTCCAGATTCAGGCTCGGTCCTGGCTGACTCGCACTGCTCTTCCTCGGGCTCCCTGCGCTCCCGCATCGTCCTCGCACCTCGTAGGCTCCAGACCGTCGACCAGTCGCCCTTCCCGAGTCTGTACCAGGGTTGAGCTTCCGCTGCCAGGAATGGGATACGATCCACCAACACGGGCCACAGCGTCGAGAGCGTCGAGCCAGACGTGGCCTCGTCAGCTCCGCATCCCCTCACCCAGCCTCGACGATGCTGAGGGAAGACCGAGGGATTCGTCGCGCTTGGACGATCCCAGCCCCGTCGGGCGATGACCTCACTTGCCCCCTTTCGAGGGGTCGCACTCGGTTTGATCGTTCCTGTGGATTCACGATAAGGTGGGCGGGTCTGTCAAGAGAGGCCGGCGCAAGAGACGTGGCGGACACGGCGAATGCTACCTGGCCTGTCTTTGTACGACGATTGCCCGGAGGAATGGTCCTCGCGGCGCGCGCGACTGAGCAGGCTGATCGGGCCAGGAAGCGCCAGAGGCGGCGGCCAACCGGGCCGGGCAGGCCTGCCACGCACCGCACAGTACTGCGGTCGCGCCTGTTTCACGGGCGGGAACAGCAGCGAGCAGCCTGGCCCGTCTGGCGGGCGGGTTCCACGCACGCAAAGGCCCCCAGGGTCCGCTCGTTGCTTTCTGCTGGCAGGTCGGAGCGATCCGGTGCCGTCCGTCGGTGACCGGGCAGGTCAGGTCAGGTCAGGTCAGGTCAGGTCAGGTCAGGTCAGGTCAGGTCAGGGCAGGGCAGGGCAGGCAGGCAAGCCAGGGATCGAAATTTGCGGCGCGGGCGTGGATTTCCAATTCCGACTTTGCCGTGGGTGCGTGCTGCTGCCAGCCAGCAGGCCAGCCAGGCCTCTCTGCGCGGAAGCCCATCGCTGCAGCTCCGCGACCGGTGGCTCGTAAGGGTAACCGGTGGTACCGGTACCCTGCCTGCTGGGCCTGCCTTCGCTACAGAGTGGCCCAGGCGAAGAGCGCGCTCGCTTTGCTTAACGAGAAACTTTTCTTCCGATCACCGCAGCAGGCAGGCAGGTAGACTGGCGCTGTGGCAGTGGGGATGTTGGGTTTGTGGCAATCATGGAGCGACTCAAGGCACGGGCGGGGGGCCTTTCGGTCACCAAAGCAGAAGAGGCTAGGTGCAGCGAGGGAGAGAGGCCAACAACAGACACCATGCCTGCCTGCCTGCCACCTGACCCGCTGGGAGACTGGCAGGCAGGCAGGCCTCGTCTGGCAACGTGGGCGGGCCTCTGCATCCTCTGGATCTGCACCCCTCCCTCCCCTTCAAATGGAGATGGGGACGTGCATCGATCAGCTACAGCACCGCACCGTGGCGGCCAACCGGCCTAGCGCCATGCCCTGTACATATGCTACCTCGGCCTCGGCCTGGCACGACCTGGCACGAGGCCTGTCCACCGCGCGGCTGACCGCCGACGCCCCGCAGCACCAGCGTGGTGAGCTGGCGCAAGCCCCGTCGACCCGCGGCCCCGAAAGCCAGCATGCCCCGACACCATCGCTCGACGACGGGCCTGCCACGCCCTCCCTTCTTGGCCAGCCAGCTAGCTAGCCAGCCACTCCCTCGCCGCCACCACCAAGCCACCTAGATTGCCTCACTATCCCTGTCTCGTCGACCTTGTCCTTGACCCCAACGCCATCACCACCCTCCTCCGCATCGTGCTTCACCACTGCCACCTTAGACGCCCCTGGGACGAGACGAACGAACGCCCGCCCTGCCCTGCCACTCGACCCGCCCCCCAGTCCAACAGCCAAGCTGCCTGCCACCCTGCCCCCATCGCCCGCCATGCCGACGACGTACGAGCCCAGCCGCAAGAATGTCTTCTCGGGACCCAACTCGCTGGTCGACTACTTCAACCCGGACAAGAACCCGCCGCTGCCCATGGTCGAGCTGCCGAGGGAGCTCAACCCCTTTTACGACGACAATGTCCGCGTCTACGCAAAGATGCTGACGGCGCTGCCCGCCACCAATGTCAAGAGCCTGCCGGGTGAGTCGAGAGCAGGGTGGTCCTGGGCGAATCCCCGTCGTGGTAGAGCAGCGGGGGCGCTTGGGGTTGCCGAAGGCCGCCGTTGTCGAAGGCCCAGGCGGTGTCCGCTGTGGCGCTGCCGCCGTTGTCGCTGTCGCTGTTGTCAACGACGTTGGCGGCTGTGGTCGAGAGCGTCCGTCCGGGCGAGGCGCGATATCCTGGCAAGCGGACGGGACGAGGGAGACGATGGAATGGTGGTGGGAAGAGAGGCAGGCAAAGGTGGAGGACGAAACAGGAAGAAGCAAGGCCGACCGGGTTCCCGGAACGCACACATCTTATCTCCTTCGAGAAGACGGCCGGACCAGGGATCTGCAGGCAACCGACGAGGATCTCGCGGCGTCTAGCTGTCGGAGAGATAAGATTGCGGCGCCTGCATCTCGTAGCTGTCGCTCGTGCTCGCCCGTTTTCCAGGAACGGAAGGGCAGGCGGGCCAGGGGCGCCCGGCGGCGAGGGCGGGCCCGGGGGATGACGCCGGCATGGTACGAGATGGGGCGTTGATATCGCGTGCTGGTGGTCGCCGCGGGCTCTACGACCTCTGGAGCCCCTCGGAGCCCGCGCTCGTCGCTCGTCTTGGCCATCGGGCGATTGCTCGAGCGGCCCGATCCAGCCCTGCCCGGGCGATGGCGTGATTTTTGCAGATTTCGAATTTCGACTTGCAGAGCACGCCATCGTCGTCCGGGCCGCGGGCCATCTCCTGGCCTCACCTGGCCTGCCTGGCTGGCGACCTCTCCGGCCCCTGCCCTTCGTTGACCTGGCCCGGCTCGCTTGCTATCTTGCTTATCTATTTGGCCGGCCGGCCGAAGAGAGGACCCTTGCTGACCCCTGCCTCTCCATCCTCTACCTGCCTGCCCGCCTCTCTGCACCGCCGCTCGCCGCTGCTCGCCAGCGCTGAGCCTGCTCGAATCTGGCGGCGTGCTGTCGCTCGACGGCCGGCCGGGCGACGAGCAGCGCTTCCACACCGTCGTCGAGTCGTCGTCCGGCTCGACGGTCACCTCGATGGCCATGATCGCGCGCCAGCACGGCGTGGCCAAGGTGCGCGCCTACATGAGCAACAAGGTCAGCCCCACAAAGTCCAAGTTGATGCGCTTCTTTGGCCTCGAGCTCGCCCTCTTTGGCGGGCCCTCGCAGAGCCCGCCGCAGGATCCCAAGGGCGGCATCGCAAAGGCCGCCCGCGACGGCGCCGAGGACGGAGTCTACAACCCGAACCAGTACGAGAACTTTGCCAACCCGGCCGCCCACGAGCGCTGGACGGGCAAGCAGATCCTCGAGCAGCTGCCGGAGATCAACGTCTTTGCCGCCGGCATGGGCACCGGCGGCACCATCACGGGCACGGGCAAGTGCCTCAAGTCGTCGCGGCCCGACATGCACGTCATTGGCGTCTGCGTGGCGCCCGGCGACAAGGTGCCCGGCCCGCGGCCAAAGGAGCTCCTCGAGCCCGTCGACTTTGAGTGGAAGGACGTCGTCGACTCGGTCGAGGACGTGACCAGCAAGACGTCGTACACCCTCTCGATGGAGATGTGCCGGTGGGGCATCGTCAGCGGGCCCAGCTCCGGCTTCTCGCTGCAGGGCCTCTACCAGGTGCTGGAGCGCAAGAAGCGCGACGGCACGCTCCACACGCTCCGCCAGCAGAATGACGGCAAGCCCATCGAGTGCGCCTTCCTCTGCTGCGACCTGCCGTTCCAGTACGTCGACGAGTACTTTGACAAGTGCGACCCGGCCTCGTTCCGCCCGATTGTCAACGAGCACCTCTTCAAGGTGGACCAGTACAGCTACTCGTCGACCTGGATCCTCGACTTTTCCGCCGCCATGACGATGCTCGTCTACCCGCGCTTCCCGCTCGGCGCCGACGCCAGCGCCGCCGACCTGCCTTCGCCCTCGTCGATGCCCTCGTCGCCCTCGTCGTCGCTCGGCGGCGCCGGACCCCTGTCGCCCGGCCTGCTCCGTCCCGCCATCCTCGACCTGCGAAGCCGCAAGGACTTTGCCGCAGAGCACCTCGACCGCTCCTGCCACGTGCCCCTCTCGAGCCTGCGCGAGGACGACCCGAGCCCCTACGACGACGCCGCGCTGCTCGCCACGCAGTGGACCGAGCTCAACGCACGCTTCATCACCAACGCCAAGGACGTCGAGCACCGGTGCCCGCAGAACGGCGTCGCCGAGCTCGCCAAGCTGCCCATCGAGGAGGTCATCGCCTGCCTCCGCACCAACGGCCGCGAGGCCCTGGTCGTCGACTACGACGGCGAGACGGCCAAGCTCGCCTGCAGCGTCCTCCGAAAGGCCGGCGTCAAGGCCTTTAGCGTCGAGGGCGGGTTCAAGGCGCTCAAGGACAACGGCTGCCCCCTCGTCCTCGGATCGCCCTGAGCGGCGTCCGACCTCGTCGCCCGCCCGACCCCGCATTGCATCTCGCTCCGTCCTTACGTCGCTCCCTCTTCTCCAGCTTCGCTTCGGTATCACTTCATCTGTATCCATCTGCTGCCGTCGTGGCCCACTTAGACCCGCCCTCCGTTCCATGTACTATACATACCAAGACCGCTTCGTCCCCGCCCTTGTTCCCACCTCATTTCATCTATCACACAGTGCCTGTCTCGCCAACAAACATTGCTGGGTCGTCGTCTGGCCCGCCGCGGGCATCGTGGTCCCCGACGTCGAGCTGCTCGCCGATATGCTGCACAGCCTCGGCCGGTTCTGCTCCCGTTACCCTGGTGTGGGGCCATCGCTCGCACCTCTGTCATTGCGACAGGCTTGGCATGAACGCACTGGCCACCAGGGCATTCGAGGGCTGTCAGCGCCCCACTTCATCTCCCGAAGACCAGGGTGGCTCGCCATCCGACGCTCCTGGCCAGCAAACCTTGCCGGAGAGGCAGCCGAGCCCCGTCGTCTCCCCTAGAGACACACACCCCTACCTTCAGAAGATCCGAGCAAGTATCGGTGTGCGGCGTGCGACCGATAAGAGTGACCCACCTTCTGCGCGATGCTGGCTTTCTCATTCGTTGTCTCATCCATCCCCTCCCATTCAGACCTGCCAAATCGACGAAACAGATCCTTCAAACGCGCTGCCCCATTCGGTCATGAAGCCCTCCGCCTCGTTGCTCCTGCTGACCGCCCTGGTGGGCATCATTGCTCGGGCGTCTCCGAGCGAGAAAGTGGGTACGGTCATCAAGCTCGCTGGCAAAGACAACTACCTCTTCGTCGAGCTCGACAATGCCTTTGAGGCCGACACGCGCAGTCCTTCGGTCAACCTCTGCCTCGACTCTCCGGGCGTCAGGGACTGGACGTTCGCCTACAAGCCGGGCGGTTCCGCAATGTACCCGCGCTACTCGAAGGAGCAGGACAGGCACACGTTCGTCAAGGCGCAGGACTGCTCCCAAGGTGGCAGTCGCTGCGCGACGTGGTCTCGAGCCACCTCTGCGGACGGATTCGGCTGCTTTGTCCTCATCGACAAGAAGGGCTGGACTCCGCCCGACCTTGCCGCCGCCGCGAAGAGGAACGCGATGACGTTTGCGGATGTTCAGATCATCGTAAGAGCCATCGAGGACGAGGTCAAGAGGAACGATCTCGGCATCATCGGTACGTGTCGTCGAGAAATTCGCGCTGGCGAGCATTCGAGAGGCGTCGAAGGGAGGTGCACAGGAGGCCCAGTGCATGGCGAGCAGCGCACTCAGACGTTGACCCCGTCTTGCCTCTGTCCCTATCCACCATCCATCACCGCGCCACACGGAAAAGACGTCAAGAAGCGCACTTTCCTCGGCATCCTCCCCGACACCTGCGACGTCAGGCAGGACACGACGGGCTGCAAGAATTTCTGAGCGCGCCCAGCGCTCGCTAGCACGGCTTCACAGCTGAGAGGATTCGATCGCTTTCCATACCAGCCGATTTATGGTTCGTCGCTCGCTCGCTTCTTGTACCGAGTCCGCAGCCAGCGTGGGGGTCGCCCGTCTACGTCTTGCGACTGTACTTACGGTCCGGGCGAGTGTAGGGCCACGATCTGTCATGATGACTCGTTTGGCCTGCAACCACCGTGATGTCGACCTGGGTCGGTGGGGGATCACAGCAACGATATCGATTCAGCCGTCCTCTTTGAGAGTCGGGCTGTCGCATTCGTGCGGGTCCATCTCCTTATGAACGCACACAGCGCCCTGGCAACCACTGCGCGATGTGGGGCCATGTCCCGGCGCCCTCGAGTCAGGTGGGTGTGGTCTTGATTGGTCGGGCATCTCGCCCGCCGGCGCTGAACTGTGCCAAGCACGAGGGTGTATACCAACATCATTGTCATCGACGAGAGACCCACCTCCGGCGCTCATGGTTTTCGACTCCTCGATCATCGACAATTCACCCCCGGAATCGCCCCACTTGTTGCGCCGGCCTACGTATGTAATACTGTATTGATGAGCGCGCAAGCAGGCTGTGCTGGCAGTTTGGTCGACGGTGCCTCTCAACCTTGTCGATGTTCCCAAAGACGTATAAAAACGGGCAGCTTGGACCACGAAGCCGACCCCTATCACCTCATATCGATCATCCGACTACAACATGAAGTCCCTCAATGTCCTCGTGGCTCTTCCCATCCTGTTGGCCTTCTCTGCCCGGGCCGAGCGAGTCAACCACGCCGACATCCAGGCAGTAGGAAAGATGACTGTCGCGCTCAATCCGGCATCTCCAGTGTCCGATATCGGCACCCTCGCTATCTGCCTTCCCGCTAGGCAATGGAGTTTCAACGACGGCAGGGCGGACTGGAGCCTGAAGTCCACTCCGGGAGGTTTCAGTTGGGTCGATTCCGCTAGCTGCCCCCAGCAGGGTTGTCTGCGCTACAGCCCCGAGGCTCAAAGCGCCTGCTACCTCTCTGGGCCTGGCAAGACCATGGACGATCTGTACAGCCTCATGCGAGCGCTGATCAGCGGAAGAATCACCAAGCACATGCGCGTCAAGACCTGTGAGTGTGACGTGCATCGGATCGAGAATCTCTTGCCGCCACTTCGTTTGCTGAACTCCGTCCAAGGCGGGCTGGTTGCTTTGCAGCTTCGGGCCTCCACCAGATTGGAACCTTTCTCGCCGGCGACGGAAGCCCGCCTGAAGGCGGTTCGGGCAACGATGGCATGCCTGGGGGCTCGGGCAACGACGGTACCTAGGCCGTGTCGACATCCAGAAGGGCGATCGCCTGTTCAAAGCCGTTTTTATCGTCCCATGTTCTGCGACTTCGACGGAGACTCTGCACCTGATCTCCGCCCGCTCTCGTACGACCCTCGAGCATGGTGCCCGCTTTGTATGCCCTACTCCTTTTACAGCCGACGGTCCATTCGTGATTTTCCTCCTGAGAACATGTTCTGTCGGCATTGAGCTATGCGCTCGTCTGGTGCCTGCAACGACGTGCCTATCCATCGGCAAATGTTCCTCACACAGCTCATACGAGGCCCTCACGGACGGCTGCACCCCACTTTGTCGTTCAAAGTGCGCCCCCACCCCGGCTGTAAAGATGACACTACCCGTCCCCAACGACAAGGCGGTCGTAGTCCCACTGCGGGTCGGGCTCAGCTCCACCGCCTCAAAGGCTCGGACTGCCTCATATGGAAGCGTTTGCGAAAGTACGGGTAGGCGGTGCAGGTGGGCGACTTGCGCTGTGCTGGCTCGTATGTTACACGTCCTCGCAATCAGCCTTGCGGCTACGCTTCGGTCGTCGATGGTAGCGATGCCCACCTCCGGCAAGTCGTTCGATTTCCGAGGTCTTCCCCACCCCAGCCGCACCCTGTGGCCTTCTTGATACGCCCCACATGTGGGGCCGACTTGCTCTCGATGAGCGCCTCGACGGCTCGCGCTGGCGCGACTCTCCTCATCGATCCCTCCATCGACGATGGCTCAAAAGGTATTAAAGCAAGGGCCAAAATGGCCATTCTTGCCCCAAGAGTCCACCCTATCCGGCTCGTCCAGCTCCAAGATGAAGCTTCTCAATATCCTCGCCGTTCTATCCTGCATGCTGGCCGCCTCTGTCCGCGGTCAGGGAGGCTACCTGGCCGATATCATCGGCGTCGGTAAACTGAGCGTCCAACTCAGTGGCGGCTACCTCGGCATCTGCCTGACCGCGGATCCATGGAGCTTCACCGACAGCACGGGCAAGGTTCAGCAGAACCTCGAATACGGCCAAGGAAGATTCACTTGGACTCGAGCCGCAGCCTGTGGCTCTGCAGCCTGTTTTGGGTACAGCGAGCCTACTGATAGCGCCGTAAGCTGCTACTCCCACGGCCCTGGCCATGGCGCGAACGACCTCCAGCCCCTCGTGGATGCTTTGGAAAGCGGAAAGAACGCTCTTAATTTCCGCATCAAGACATGTGAGTTTGCACACCGAGAGCACCTTTTGAGACCAGGTTTACAACGCTGAGCACAAAACGTTGCCCCGGGCCCATCTCGATCCTCTTTAGCGTCTGGCCTTCACCGCCTTGGAGACCTCGCACACCTCGTCGGTAACTGATCAAGCCGCTCTTTGGGTGACAGCTCGGCAAATACCAAGCGGGCCTCGCGCGGGAGCGTTTGCGCCCGCCAAGGGTCGTCGGTATCGAGCGATATGGCGTCCTTCATTTCTAGCGGCTGGAAAGCACGATGTCCACCTCAAGTACTTTTCTCGAGGCCGATAGGATGGAGCCGCTCACCACCCTTCGTCGAAGCAGCGCTTGAATGCAAGCTCGGCCCGAGCGAGCCATCCAGCCGCGCTGACCTCGTCTGGCTGACCTCGCAAGCCCTAGCCAGTCGTCGCGCGTGCAGCCACGGATGACCCTACACCGCTTCGAAACGCATCCCCCAACTAGCACTCGCAAACTTCCCTCTTCCTCCCACGTCTCCTACTCTTCTCGGAGACACGTGACTCCTTCCCGCTTGTTGTCCGAGTGACGAAAAGTGACGACTGTGTTGCAGAGACCGAACCGATTTGGCTCGTTCTCTGCGCAAAATTTGCAGAACGACCCCCTCTTTATGAGCTCGGCGAAGCTGAAGCCGGAACTGTGCAAGCCAGCGCATCATCGAAGATGTGGCTGACGTCCGAGCCTTTGCCAACTCGAACTTCATCTTCTTGCTGCAGCGATGCGTCGCTAGAAACTGACCGACAGCAAGCACGGAAGTGATCTCATCTGCTAGGGTCGGAGGAGACATCCATGGCCGGCGTGGGACCCGTTGCCGGAAGGTACGGGAAAGAACAACTCGTGTATCGATCGACGCTGCCTTGTCTGGTTCGGTCCTCTCAGTTCGCCCCACCGCCGGCGTGCCCCACTCTGGTGACCCTGACCGCATCAGCCAACTTGCGGCTTGCTGCCAAGGCTAGTGGGCTGCCCGGCTCTTGAACGAGGCTCATTTGATTTCGATGCGGCCCGACTGTCGACGGCTTCGCTGCCCATGGCCCACCTGGTGGCGCAATCCTAAAGTTGTCGTTGCGGACCAACCACTTGTCTTCGGAGGTGGGGCCAGTCGATGGATGAGGTGGGCAACCGAGGAGGCTGTGCCCTGTTTTTCTGTCGACGCAAAAGTATTTGACCAGGCCCTCGATCGACCAGGCCCTCGATCGACCCGACCACTGCCGTCCACCATCCCTTTCTCCACCCTCACCACACCTCCCCCCTCCTCGTCCTCTTCCTGACAGCAACTCCACGATGAAGTTCTTCGGTACTTTCCTATTCCTTACCGCCTCGGTCACCACCCTGGTCAACGGTGCTTGGATGGAGGCCAGGCTCGCTGATGGTGCCAAGCTCGACATCAGCCTGACGCCGGAGAACAAGGTGCGGCTGTGCACGGACAGGTCCTGGCAGTTCCGCAACAAGGATTTGAGCTGGCAGTACGGCCTGGCGTACGGAAAGAAGCACCACAAGTATCACTTTGCCGCCAAGTGGAAGCACAACCTCCTCGTTGAGGTCCCTCACCTCAAGTACACCGTCTGCTTCGAGGATCCGACCCCCGGTCGAACCAAGGAGGACCTCGAGTCTCTGGCGCACCTCCTCAACGACCCCAACAACAACCGCAAAGGCAAGGGAGGCCCCATCGCTATCTACAGTCAGTGTCGTCAGCGCAAACGAGTCCCACACGGCGCGTGGACAAAGAGGAGTCTCCAGCTAATCGCGCTTACACCGCCTTCACATGCCCCTTGACAACCCATGACCGCAGTTGACACCAAGGGACGAGAGCACTACACTGAGATTGGCCAATTCTCTCCGCTCACCGACTAAGGTCTCCGCTATCGCTTCGCCAAGGGCGTGCTCGTATTTGGACGATCGACGCGACCATATTGCGCTCGGTTATAGGATCGCCAAGCGTGCAGGAGCTGTTGCGCCTCCCGCTCTGCGAGCCTTGGGTCCCATATTGTGGGCGCGAGTTCCCCGTCCATGTACCACAGACGTGCTGTATCGGGTTCTGTCTAACCCAGACGAAACAAAAGATCAGCCTTCACTCCGATCAACCCGTGTTCTCGACATCTCTCATATGCCCTCGCCGCGACGCCTGTGTTTGAGAGGTGGATGCTCTCCGCGTTGCTACACATGCTTGCATTTGTGGGCGTGCGTACGGTACCGTAGCCTGGTAGTGAAGCCCAGCTGGGTCCCCTTCCTGTTTGAGCTGCTGAGATCGGCTCCTCCGCCTCGGATGCTTTGGCCCACACAGGACATGCTGCTTGCAGCCGCGGCTGTACCCGTCAATTGAGCGCTGCATGGCCTTCGCCGCTGTGTATGTACAATTCTTTTAATGAGGTTCGGAACGGATCGACATCCCTGACGATGGTGACAGCCCAATTCGTACCTCACGACCCACTTTGCCGTTCGCGGTGTCGCGCAGCTTCCGTTGCAGATGACCCTTCTACCTGCGCGGGGATCCCCTCCTAGCGCGTTTCGCGGAAGTGGGGCGCGGAAAGCGGTTGCCCCTGAGCGGCTGCCGTCTGCAGAGGGGAGCGGCGATATGGGGCTGGTCAGGATGTTCGTCGGCCAGAGCAAGGCTTGGGGTGCACCGTCGCCTACAAGTACATAAAGGCTTGAGCGAGTCGACTGAGAATCGTCGATCCATCCCCCACCCTCCCGTGTCTCCTCCCGTCCCTCTAGACCTTTACCCCTCCCGTCCTCTCCTCAACCCTCCCTTTCCTTTCCGAAAGCAGTCAAGATGAAGATCACCGGCACCTTTATGATCCTCGCCGCCTCGATGGCCAGCGCCGTCAGCGGCCTGGCGCACCACGCCAACGTCGACGGCAACGGCGCCATCTACATCTGCCCACCGGAACGGACGGCGAGTCGGCGCTGTTCCGGTAGCAAAGGATCTACGGGCAAAGGCGCGCTCGGTGCCGCGTCGGCCGCGCCCCGTCAGCGTTGCCGCGCCGGCTCTTCTTACGGTCGATTCTGTCTCCCGGTCAGCACATCGTACGATGTGAAAAGCTCTAGCCTTGTCATCGGGGCTGCTCGTTGGCAAGCTCTCGGATGTGGGTGCCGAGACGAGGTGGGTCAAGGAGCACCTTTGGAGGGGCTGCCAGCAGTACGCACCGACTCAGGGAGTTGTGAATCGGCACCACCTGCGGCGAACTGACATGATCCTCCCCCCCTAAATCTGCATCACAGGCAAAGACGCCCGTTGCTGGGGCATCACCGTCACCTGGGGCGAGTTCCACGCCGGCAAGCCGCAGTAGAGCCATCCCGTCGCATGGCCTGCGTCGCATCGGCACGAGGAGCTGAAGCCCGTCGGGCTCGTCCGCGCTCCATCTCGGTCGCGGACCGTCCTTCTCCATATCCTCGTCCTCGTCCTCGTCGTCTCCCTCCTCCCTTCCAGAGTGTATCCGCTCATCCCATCTGCTCCTGAATCCCAAAGCGTCTCCGCTCGCCGCTGTGTGTTCGCTGCGAGCTCCCACCTCATCCATGCGGGCAAAGAGAGTAGCCCCTGGCAGCACTTACCCAGTCGTCATTGGCTTGCGCCACGACGGGAATCCCATGGCGAGACTTTGAGAGACGCCGAACGAGATCAGCTTGGCCAAACGTGCCTGCCATCATGACGTCGGCGGTCCCGCTCAGAGAGCTGCATCGACGCTCCTGCTCTACAAAGGCTTGCGATCTGGACAGGACTACGCTACCCCACAGTCTGCGCCGCGCTGCAAAGCACACGACGGCGGCAGTGCAGGCAGTGCGGCCAAACGGCTCAGATTGGAGGGTCTGCCAAAGGATACGTGAACGCGTGCATCGTGTCAAGCGGGCGCTCTAACTTGGTCGTGATGAGGTCGTGACAGTCGGGATAGACTCGGAAGCAAAGGAAGATGTGAGAGCGAGCGAGCGAAGCAGGCCAGGCCAGGCCAGCCCAAGCTCAGGCAAAAGACAAACAGGCAGAAACCGACGGACAGCGTATCCCGTCTGATACCCTCGACATCACATCGACATGCTGCGGATGCGGCTTCCACCTTCGGTCGGCTCCCTGGTCCGGCCGCGGGCGGCTTCGGCGGCGGCCTGCTCGGCTGCAATGACGTTGCGTTCGTCGGCCAGCTGCGTGCGCGGGTCAAACGACTTTGGCGACTTGAACGTGTAGCCCTGTTCGCGTGGCGACAAGGCGGGAAAGGTGGAACAGTCAGCACATCAGTATGATTGCATCTTGGCAAAGAAACCAGGACGCGATGCTGAGTGTACCGCCGCATCGGGCGATACTCACGACAAAGGCGAGCTGCTTGCGCATCTCGAGCAGCTTCTGGCCTTGCTCCTTGTCCCGCAGCATGGGGTCTCGAGGCTGATCAGCGTTGGGGTTCTCGGCCGCGCCGGGCGCCGGGAGGGGCTCGTCCTCGATGTCGTCCTCAAAGTGCTTGGTGTCGGCGGCGTGGGACAGTGCGGGGCGGTAGGGAGCCTTGGCGCGGTGGAGGTTGTTCCAGTCGATGCCGCGGAACCACGGGTGCGACATGAGCTCCTCGACGCCGTCCTGCAGGCCTGGCGCCGACGGAGCGGCGCCCGCGGCGTTTGCGCCGGCGGCGAAGCCGGACCTCCGCGCGTTCTGCAGCACACTGTTGGGCCGACTGACCGAGGCGCTCGAAGTGCTGCCGAGGCGATCCTCGCGCTCGCAGACGAGCCGCTTGATAAAGTCCTCGGCCTCGCGCGACACCTTGGGCTTGGGCGGGAAGCGCAGCGTCTGCCGCCAGTTGAGGATCTTCTGCCGGGTGAGGTGCCTCGACTTGGAGACGAATGGCGGGTAGCCGAAGAGCATCTCAAAGACGATGACGCCGAGCGACCACCAATCGCACGCCTGGTCGTAGCCGAGGCCGCGTAGCACCTCTGGCGCCATGTAGTTGTTGGTGCCCACGACCGAGTAGGCGATCTTCTTCTTGTTCTTCTCGCGCCACGTCAGGACATGGGTCATGGGCGTGCCATCCGGGTTGCGATCGCTCATGACGTCGATGAGCTCCTTGTCGTTGAGGCCGGCGCCCATCCTCGGGTTGCCGCCCGCCTGGGCACGGCGCCTGACGCCGGCGCCGGCGTGCGAGTCTTCGAGGTCGATGCCGTGCTTCTTGAGCAGGTTTCGGCGCTGCTGATCGTAGTAGGCCCCGTCGTGGGCCCAGTGGAACGACTGGCAGAGGCCAAAGTCAGCGAGGCGGATGTGGCCGTCGGACGAGTAGAGGAAGTTGTCGGGCTTGATGTCGCGGTGGATGTAGCCCAGGCTGTGGGCCTCGTGGATGGCGAGGATCATCTCGGCGACGTAGAAGCGCGCAAAGTCCTCTTCGAAGATGTCCTTCTCGATGAGCAGGTTGAGCAGGTCGCCGCCGCCCATGAACTCCATGATGAGGTAGAGGTGGTCGACGTCCTGGAAGCTGTAGACGAGCTTGACGATCCACCGGGCATTGGCGCTGGCGCTGGCGCTCGTCATGAGGTCCCTCTCGGCGCGAACGTGGCCCTCCTGGCCCTTGCGCAGCATGTCGGCCTTGCGCAGCTGCTTCATGGCAAACAGCTCGCCGGTGCCCTTCTCGCGGCACAGGGCGACGACGCCAAACGCGCCGTGCCCGATGGTCTTGAGCTTGACAAAGCTGTTGACGTTGACGCGCGCCCTCATGTCGCGCAGGTACTTTGTCTCGTTGGCCATCCAGGCCTGACGGATCTGCTCCTTTGCCGTCTCAGGAATCCTGAGCGCGGCCAGCTCGGCCTCAAGGCCCGCGCGCCGCGTGTCGCGTGCCTTTGGCTTCTTGAGGATGCCAAAGTAGAGGTTCTCAAAGTAGATTTTGGCCGCCACGCTCTTCTCGACCGTCTCGAGGCTGGGCCGCACGTTGGCGCCGCGCATCAGGTCGGGCTGAATGGTGAGCTGCGACAGTCCGGCCGACTCGACGCTGCGCAGGCTGTCGAGCACCACCATCGACTCGGGCCGCTCGGCCTTTGGCGGCTCGAAGAGAGCATTGATGCCGCCGGGGGCGCCTCCGGGCAGGCCGTCGATCGGCTTGGTCGCGGGCGGGCGGTCCGGCGAAGGGGGCCGGTACTGCATGTAGTCTGGCACGCCGCGGGCATCGTCGGGGATGCCTGGGGACGGGTTGAGGAGGAGGGTGCCGGCGGTGTTGGTCCGCACCGTGGCCGGCCGCAGCGTCGGCGGCGGCGCGGCGCTGCGAGGCGACTCGGGGGGTGCGCCGAGGTTCATCTGCGCCTGCATGGCCGCCTCGAGCGGCTCTCCATCCGAGCCGCGCGTCTCTTCGGCGATGCCGGCAAATACCTCGCCTCCCCGCGGCGTGGTAGGTGCGCCGCCGTTGCCAAAGTAGGTGCCCTTGTACGTTCCCGGGCTCGGGATCGTCAGCTGGCTGTGGCCCGCCGTGGCCGTGGTGGTGGTGATAGTCGAGCTCTGCGAGGGGGCGCCATTGACGATGTGCAGCTGGCGAGGGTTGTCGTTGATCTGGCTCTCCTGGTGCAGCGCGGCCTGGACCTGGGCGATGGCCTCGGCCTGGTTCCGAGCGGCCTGCATCCTCAGCGCCTCTTTGATGGGCTCGACCCAGTCCGGGTTCGCCACCTTGCCCATGCCGTCCCGGCTCCAGCGTAGCAGAATCTCCTCGGCCTGCTCGGCGTCGCTGGCATGGGCGGCGTGCACGAAGCTCTGCGGGCGAGGCGCGCTCACCATGTCGACGCTTATCCGCTTCTTTTGCGCACGCGGACCCATCACCGCCCCGCCAAAGAGCGCCGCTCCGATGCCAGACGAGGCCGGGGCGTGAGTGGCAGGATAGGCCCCGGGCGCGGGGGCAGTCGAGGCGTCCCGCGTTGCCTTCGAGGGCGACTGAGCCGGCTTGCCGCCGTACTCCGGGCCGGCCTGAAACGGCTCGATGCTGTTCCTCCTGAAGCCGCCGGTGGCCTTTGACAGCGTAGCCCGTAGCCGTCCTGGGCTCGATGGCGCCGTGATGGCCTGTGTGGGAGGCGCCAGTCGCGATGCTCCTTGGTTGTTGACGAGCGACATGATGTCCCAGAAGCCCTTGTGCTGCGCGCGTGGGCAAGGCATGGGCAAGATCCGGGCAAGAGGATGTCAGAGGCGCGGAGACAGCGCGAATGGCCTCCTCTCCTTTGCGACTCACCATAAAGGCGCTTCCCTTGACTGTGGACCTGGGCATGTCGTCCGGGTCGTCCCGCTGCCCCTGCGCGAAGCGGGATCGACCCGCCGACTCATAGGGGTTCGGAAAGCTGCCGGGGACAACGGGGCTCTGGCTTCGGCCTTGGCCGGGCCGGGGAGCATACGAGGCGCCACCGCCGTAGACGGGCTGGCCTGGCTGCTGGTAGGGCTGGTAGGTGTTCTGAGGCGGCAGCATGGCCTGCTGGGACGGCTGCTGCGGCTGATACATGGGCCGCTGCTGCTGCTGTTGGTGCTGCTGCTGGCTGTAGAGCTGGTTGTATCTGGCTGACGGGCTGATGGGTGGCTGTTGAATGTATGAAGGCCTCATTCGCTCCTCGTGCTCGTACCACGCGGCGTCGTTGTGGTAGTAGCCCGACGGGCTGAAGGGAGGCTGGGGCAACGGTCGACCGCCCTGAAGTCGTCCCGCCATGGTGCGCGGCCCACGATCCGAAACGGGGAGGTAGGGGTTTCGAGCGACGGATGGAGCTGTAGGCGGTCGCTTGCGGTCCCGGCGGAGTACTCCTCGGGTGGCCTTGTCGAGCTCTGCGTCGCGCGTAGGGTGCGGTACGAGCCGAATCCAGAGATGGAAACCGAGGTGCCGGCGGCGAGGTCGGCTAGAGGAAGGCGTGAACGGTTCGGGAGCGGGGACGGCGGGCGGCTCGAGGGAGAGAAAGGACAAAGGACGATGTCGAGGTATGGGAAGACGACGGCGAAGACGACGATGGCGGCGGCGGCGACAACGAGGGGGCGGAGGCAGAGTTGAAGCGCAGGCTAGGAGAGGAAAGAGAGGGCGGGGGATGCGCCAAATGCAGGGGCGAGGTTTGTTTGGGCGCATTGCCAGCGCAGGCCGCCGCCCGCCATCATCCGCACCTCGTCCGCCTCGACCTCGACCTGTGGCCCTGTTTGCCCAGCAAGCCCGCTCGCACTGCCTTCTCTTCAGCCCGTCTTCGAACGACGACCTCAAAGCACGTCTCGCAGGCAGGCTCTCTCTGGATGGCGTCGCCGTGCGCATTGCAAGGCAAGCAGCCCTGGAGTCCGGTGCGGTCGGCCGATGTGATGCTTGCTTTGTGTCGATGCCGGCCAGGGCAGCGAGTAGCCCCCCCTACATGGCTCCAAGCTGGCAGGCTTGACCTGTCAAGGGCGTTTGGACCCTAGCCCAGCCCAGCCCAACACCCTCGGCGTCGGCTGCAGGGGCAAACCTGGCGGGCGACGGCGTACGCGTGTCGGTCACACAAGCAGGCAGGCAGGCAGGCAAGCGGGGGGTGTGTGACCCGAGGCGCGGGCGCTCGCCGAGACAGGCCAGGCCTGGCCGGACCAGCAGAGGTAGGGCCGAGCCAGCAGGCGTTGCTGCTTGGTTAGGGGTCAGCCCGCTCGGCTGCAACCCGGGCGGATCTGGACCCACCGAGACGCACGCGCCCACGCACGCACCACAAACTCTGTCCAGCCAGAGGGCCCGTGCATCCGAGGGTCCAAGGCCGACCGACCGACCGACCGGCCGACCCGGTTGCTGCGCCTAGCCCTCATCCAGCCTCGTCGTCTTCATCGTTCGACTCGGACCTCAAATTCTCCGGCGACGGATCACTCCGGAGAGTGACGGATTAGACGACGAGCGGCAAAGACGGGCGGCAACGACTGGAAAGACAGACAGAGAACGACTTTGCAATCGAACGGATACCAACGGCTTCCTGGCAGAGATTGTGTGGGTAGATGATTAGCTGCGATGCTAGATAGATGCAGGTGGCGGCGACTTGCTCGCTCGCTCTAGGCCGATGGTGGCGACGAGGATGGAACCGGAAGACCTCCGGGGAGCCCGATGGACGGAACAGGAGAAGAGGGCGAGGTATAAATAGGGCAGATCCGTCGTCTCCGTCTGTCCCCCGCGGCGGCGTGGCGGGGCCGTCGCTGCGTGCCTAGGCCCGGCCGCTGACGCCGGCCTTTTTGGCGAGCAGCGAGTGGAGCGTCGAGATGAGCTCCACTCTCCGGATGGGCTTGCTGACGTAGGCCGACATGCCTGCCTGGAGGCACTTTTCCTTGTCGCCCAGCATGGCGTGCGCCGTCAATGCGACAATGGGCACGCGCTCCTCGCCCAGCGACTTTTCAAATTCGCGGATGGCAATCGTCGCCTCGATTCCTCCCATGACGGGCACTGTCGGGTGTCGAAGAGGGAGGGACAAGGTCAGCCGGGTCTGGACAAGGCAACGCAACGTCGAGTCGAGGAGCGCAACTCACTGCTGACGTCCATGAGGATCACGTCGTACTGCCGCTTCTTGACAGCCATGACGGCGAGGTGGCCGTTGTCGACGACGTCGACCTTGTGACCCTGGTTGGTGAGGATCTTGCAGGCGAGCTTCTGGTTGACGATGTTGTCCTCGGCCAGCAGGATGTCGTAGGTGACCTCGTTGTTGCCCTCGGTCGGCGTCGCCGCCGAGCTCTCGAGCGACGGCAGCAGCGCGTAGTAGAGGTCCGCGATCGTCGTCGGCGTGTTGATGTACGAAGAGATGCCGTGGTCGAGGCAGTAGGTGAGGTTGAGCGTGAGCTGCGCCGGCGATACGAGGTTGA